TATGACTTTACTGTCAAGGACACGCATGGTAATGAAGTTTCCTTGGAAAAATACAAGGGCAATGTGGTGCTGATCGTAAATATTGCATCCAAATGTGGTTTGACCAAGAACAACTACGCCAAATTGACCAACTTGTTGGAGAAATACGAATCGAAAGGTCTACGCATTTTGAATTTCCCATGCAATCAATTCAGTTCGCAGATGCCTGAAGCTGATGGTGAAGAAATGGTGTGCCACTTGCGTGACGCCAAAGCCAATATTGGTGATGTATTCCAAAAGGTGAGTTGATTTGTGGAGTTTTTTTTCTAAAGTTAAGTGCTTGTAGTAAATTAAAAATTAAAATTATTGACAAGAAATTTAAAATTGTTCTTAATTCTTTGGAAATGGTAATAAAAAAATATTCTTGTCATTACTTAAAAGAAAAAAAGTCATTAAATTCATTTCCACGTGGCATTTTTTAAATACCTCAATTTTTTGGCATTTCAATGCCTAGTAGAAATTCGGCATAAGAATTAAAAAAATTGATATTTTTAAAAAGAACCTTCTAGAATATAAGAAGTGTACTATACATGAAATAAAATGTTTTCCCTAAAATTTTAGTTTTTTCAATCGAAAAAAATATTTTTCACACTGCAGTATTTATTCAAAAACGCACCCTGTTCAATATATTCCATGTAAAAAATTAAAGAAAAACACGCTTTCAATTGAGTGGTTTCAGTGCTGCTACCCCTCAATTAGCTGATTCCTTTAACTCGAAAAATAGGGAAACTCAAAACTATTTTTTTTTGAAGAAAAATTTACAGATCAGTCAAAGTTTCTCGATATTCGATGATTTTTCAGGGAATTTCGCCTGGAACATATTCGTATGAAAACTATATAATTTTGGCACCGACTCTGAAACCGGTTTAACTACAAACAAAATTTGATAGGGAATGATGGAAACTCGTTTCAAAACACTTCACATTCGGGTACATCAACTTAACTTGTTTAAAAGAATTCCCTTGAGCACCGAAAAAACAATATATTACTAAAATAATTCCCTAGACATTTTTTTCCATAAAATATTTATACATACATACATAAATATAAATATCGTCTTGTATTGTTCATTAATATTGATTTTTAAATACCGAAAATTTCGAAGGATTTGCGATAAAACTAAACTCGTATTTTTTTTGTAACATGAAGGCGTTATTACGGTCTCCTCAAAAACAATTTATTTTATTTTTCGTAATTCTTGAATTTTTTAATGAAAATCGTGAAAAAATAAATTGTGAAAAAATTATTTTCTTTTCAGATTTCAAGAATTACAAAAAATAAAATTTTTTTTGTTGAAGAGACCGTAATAAATAACTCCTTCAAGTATTTTGAAAAAAAAAAAACGATTTTAGTTTCAAGCAGGTGATCATTTCACGAACTCTCCTTCGAGTTTCACAGCGATGAGTTTAAAATACAAAGAAAATTTTGAATTAACGCATCTAATAGTTGACAACAACAATAACAGAAAAGTAAAAAAAAATCGATCAAAATGCACTACAACAACAACAACAGCCACCACTATTTAAAGACATTTCGTTACACAATGTTAATGCCATGTTTTATAAATGAAATTTAATTACCTTTACGCTCAGGTTCATTAGAAATTAAAATGCTTGGCATTTTCTATTAGATACTTGCGTGCATTAAATTCTACAACCCATCCTATACTCGACACATTTTTTTTGTGCTTTCAGGTTGACGTAAACGGTCCTACCGCCGCTCCACTTTATCAATATTTGAAGCACAAGCAATCGGGCACTTTGGGCAGTGCCATCAAATGGAATTTTACCAAATTTCTTGTGAACAAAGAAGGCATACCTGTTGACCGTTATGCTCCCACAACTGATCCCATGGACATTGTGAAAGATATTGAAAAGTTGCTTTAAGCTTTTCACGAACATATCAAAGTTTCGATAATGATTAAAAATCATATAAATTTATATGTCTAATTACATATATTTGAATACATCAAAATAATGATACATCCCCATACATATATTCATATACTCCTATAATGCATATTTACTATTGGCTACGGACTCTTTGGATACAGTTTCCCATACTGCGGACTATGCGGATGGAAAAGGTCTTAATCGTGCACAGCGTCATTTGATATTGATTGTTATTTCTATTCTACGATTATTGTCTTTATACATACATATTTATGTATGTATGTACATACATATATGTGTACTTCCAAAAAGTTTGTAATTCACTTTTGTTTTCGTTAAGCTTTAAATACAAATAAACTCCAAAATACCTACAAAAAACTTAAGTTGTTACTTCATTCTAGTTTAGTTCGGTCACGTAGTGGCTTGCTCTATTTTAAATGCAAAACGCATTGACCAGGTAACGGTATTGTAATGGATGTCTTTCGAGGTGTATAAGCGTGTGTGCACAAACTATATAAAAAAATGCATCACGTATACACTTAACTATGCATGCAAATTTACATGCACGGACATATGCACACCTAAGGCGATGAACATTAACCTTTCGCATCAACGGATGGTAATTTATTGTGGGCAAAAGATACATATATATGTACATACATTATACGCAAATTTTTTTTTTTAATTTTTTTATTATGTTTTTTAGTATTTTTTGTTTGCATAATTCGCAAACCAATAAATTTAAATGCGAGAATAAAAATAACAAAAATAAAAGTGGACATAAAAAGTGTGGACAATGCCATAAAAGGTATATCTGTATGTATGTTTACGCATATGGACACCACTTGTAGTAATTACTTTCCTATTATAGAAGGTTCGATTTGATTGAAAGGAGCGAGCGACTGAGAACGATCTATTGCAACAAGTTTGTATTTGGATACAGATATTTGATTCACGCATCATAAAGGAACCACGCGATATCTTATGGCTGGATGTTATTTAGGTCATGTGCTTCTAAGTACGATGATCCTAGGAAGCGAAGTCTGAGTTTAGCAATGTTTTTGTAGTGGCACTTAGTGCAGTGGTATTGCTGTTCCTCGTGACATAAACTGAACTGGTTAGAGTAAAAACTTCGAAGGTTTGACAAGTGTTTCATTATCCTGCAGTGGCCAGTGGATAGGTAGATATTCAGTTGACTGCGACTAGGAGTTCTATTGTAGCGTCTAGATCCCCACAGCACCTCGATTAGTCCTAGCGCACTTAGGAAATCCAGTAGGCTGTTTGGTGACATCGAGTGCATATGATTCGGCTGCGAGTTTAGTGACCCGAAGTATTATTTCTCTCGGAGTATGTGCTCAACAGTTTCAGCTACCCTATCACAGAAGCGGCATGAATCATTAGACCAAATCCTGAGGTTGGGTAGGGGATTTCTTAATCTGCAATGACCTGTTAAGCAATCTATTAGATCTTATCAGACAATTGCAGTACAACTGCAGTACCCCGTTAGATTGTATCCCCCTATTAGGCATGATCTAGTACCCACTGCGCCTGGATGTTATTGTATTTAGCAAGGACACTGAGGTTCTCAATACACTAGGTTATCAAGGACTAGCGATGAATTAATCTTAAAGGATAATATTGCATTGAGTGCCGCCTGATTATCACAAAGAATAAGGATTCTGTCATTACGGTAATTTACCCGAAGGTCTGCATGCGCATCTGTACAATGAGAACCTGTAGTCAGAATGGACAGGCGAGAATTTTCGCAATCGACTTTCAATTCGAATTAAACAAGAAACTCTTCATCAACCGAATATACAGAAATTAGCAGGGGGTATCCATCTTCCAATATCTTCGTGGCGCCACGGAAGAGTTGGGTTGGCTCTACCACCCACGCAAGAGCAACTGGTACATATAACGAAGAGTGCTGCGCTGCTGCAGCAGAGAAACTACGCGAGCCACAGCTGAGCAATACCGGGATAAGTGGAGTAAGGAGAGACGTCATTCAAAAGGAAAACGAACAGGGAGAAAGACGTGAGTGTGAAGAGCTTGAGACGCTGGCAGTAAAAAAATGCGGCTCGAAAATTCTATCAGGTCTCTCCATTGGACCGAGATGAGACAGTAAGAGCAACAATGAGGCTTAAGAATAATAAGGCCGTTGGAGCTTGCAAAATACCAGCTAAGCAGTTCAAAGCCGACGACGGAACGCCGAATAAAAGTATTCTTAACATTGAAGTACCAGTTGGTGAAGCGGTTTATGAACCAATTGTTTTGGGCCCTAACAGTGTGACTGACTTCAAAGTGCGTCAAATGGATAAGACCGCAATTTTTTGTTGATTTTAGCCTCTGCGGTATCAACTAGAGATGGGCACGTCACAAAAATTTAAATCCCGATCCCGCCCATCCCGAAATTCAATTTTTAAGTCCCGAACCCGCCCATCCCGACGTTTTTCAGAATTGTATTGCGGGTCCGTGATGTTGATCTTGCCAAGACCGATGGCCCTGTTTGCGTAGACGACGCGTGTTGAAGAAGGATGAATGGGCTTTACAGTGTCATTAGCTTTACTTGGACATTTCGTATACTTGGATGATGATTATGCGGTGAAAAGATTTTTCGATTCGCCATCCATGGCTGGACATGGAAAACAAGGGCACCCCGAGCACATTGGCAGGACTAACTGTAAGGTCGAACTTTACACTGGAGAGTGGAAAGCGCGGTTGTAGCACCAAGAACAAAAAGAATGCTTATTGGTAAAAAGGAAACGTTAAATCATAACGTCAAATAATAACCACTGGCCCAAATAGATTGTGAAGCGCCGTTTCCATATGTTTACTACTGAGAGCTCTGATGCACTGGATTACCCATCTAAATCGTCCACTTCGCAAGGAGCGGTAAAGCTAATATTGGCCTCCTTGCAAAGTAATATTTTCTTCATTTCTATGCGAATTAAATTTCGTTACTACAGCTAAAGAGTAGTGAGAGCTCAGTCCAGTTTTCTGCTGAATGGGAACAACACAACGATATGTTCTACTTATGCACATATGTACATACATACAAATGTTTATAGCAAATGTCCAAACAATTGCACCAACACATTCTATCGCCCCATCTAGTTCTAGTTCAATGCATTATCATAAATAGATATACAACTTGTCGCAACAATTGCCTATTTGGATATTCCCAAGTTTAATGTAAAAAGACAAATAGGCATCTACTCAACTTCAACAACAACAACAACAACAACAACAAAAGATTGACCTTCCGACAATTAACCAAATATGCCTCTTCACCATTTCTAGGAGCTTAGCTGCCGCCGCCGTAAATATCTTGCCGCCATGCGCCGCTTTTTACCCTTTTTGTAAATTTTCACGCTTCTTCTATCACCGTTAAGGCGCTAACAACATTGACAAGCGAGCACAAGCGAGTAAAAAAGCCGAAAATAGTTAGGTAGTCGAATTTTTTTGTAAAGTTTTGTGTGTTCCCCTGACGGTAAGCATAGCAGTCAAGTAGGTGGCACGCATGCGTATCAAACGCACTAGTGACAACGTGCAAGTGTCCGAGCTAGCTAGCTAGCTTTGACTACTAGTCGACAATTCGGAGCATTGAAGATTCCTTGTGTAGCGCTTAAGGTGACATACTGATTTGCTGACAAAACTATTTGCTCGGCGACGAATGCCTCAAATGAAAAACTGGGTTAAAAAAAAAACAATCAAATTCTTTACGAACGCGATGCACATGACAACAGGCGAGGCGACGTTTATGCAGTTTTAAACAGCGACAGCGCAGCAGTGATCGTGTGTGGCGCGTAGTGGATCATCCCCTTGAACGGGGTGTTGGAATTTGTTTTTTTTTGTTTTTTTGTAAAGCTGTCTGTATGATAGACATTAGTATCGACTAGCTGCCGTCCGGTCATAACATTCGGTTTTGGTGTATCCGAAGATCGATTGATTTATGCTTGAATACAGCTCGATCGGTATTCTGATCGCCGGTTGCAAGTAAACAGATTTTTGAACTGCCAATGCACAAATGTACGCGCATGCATACATACACACCTATACCACTGTTTTTCTAAAAATCAATTTAAATTGAATTCCATACCAATTTGTGTATTTACACGTCGAAAATGCCCAAAATCGTTTGTACTTAGCTTGTCGTATGCGCCTGACTTGCAATGCGCAGCGACGACACAGCGTATCAATGGCGCGCTTTACCAGCTCATCGCCGTGCATGCAATACATATAAAATAGCGTCAGTACCAACACTCGAAGTTCACTTAGCTGCGACCAGCAGTACGTATCGGTAGCGCATCGGTCAACTGTTGTGAACGCAAACGATTTCCACCAGTACAAGTACAAGGATTAATTTCATTTGCTGCATCAGAAAAGGATACCATACCCGCGATGAGAACTCTGCTTGTGCTGTTGCTGTGCATTGTCACAGCCTTTGCAGCAACTCATGTCAACATTTCGATTGCTCAACATCCAGCCACAAATCCTGCCGATGTCACCTATGTGGATGGCACCGCACCTGACGAGCTGAAGGCGGGTCCACTGAAGAAAGCTAGTGGGGAGCAGCGTAGTGCCAGGTTGCGTGCAGCCGAAGAGAGTGTAGAGAGTAGTGGAAATGCACAGCTGAATGAGCAACAAAAGCAAGACGCTTCCAGTTTCAATAGTAATTCGAAATCAGCGCAGCAGGTACAACAGGTTGAAGAGCAATCGAGTGGGTTCAAGCAACAGCAACAGCAACAGCGGTTTTATGGACGTTTACGCCAACCAAGCCGGCAGAGCCAATTTCGTCAAGCCAATGCTCAAGACAAGCAGAATCAGGAGTTCGAGCGCTATATACAAAATTATCATAGCGGACCGACTGTGGAAACGGTAAGTGTAAATATTTCGTGCGAAATGTGGTACTCAATATACTCGTATTTCTTAGTCAAGTCAATTATCCACAAGCACTCTTTATTTATCCTTTCTCTCTGATCCTTTAGGTATTTGAAACCGCCGATCACTCGCCTTCAGCGCGCTACGAATACTCCTCGTCGTCGTCGTCGTCGTCATCTTCTTCTTCTGGCCCAGCACGTCTTGTCGCCATCGACGCGAAACCTCGCAAACAACATACTTTCGAGCGGCAAGTTGCTCTCCCCGCTGCTGTCGCCTCAGCAGCATCGGCGCCCGCCGAGGAGCAATCCAAATCAGCTGCAGACGCGAAGATTCAAATATCCCCAGCACCAGTTGCTGCAGCACCTGCTGTTTCTACGCCAGTAGCTGTGCAGGCACCTTCACCTGTCGCCTCGCATTCCGCACCATCTGCTGCGCCATCGGCATCGTCGAAATCTGCTACTACTGTAATTAGTGGTGGCAGCGATGGTGGCAAAGTGGGTATTGGTGGTTCGTTCGTTGGTGGTTTTGCTGGCGCTGGCGCTGGTCCTGGCTCACATGGCGTGACGTTTAGAGTGGCTAGCGGCAGCGGGTACAATCAGCCGAACTTTGATCAAGCTAATAGCTATGGCAAGCCTGACTACGAGCAACCAAGCTACAATTATGATCAAGGAGACGCAGGTGGTTTCCTAAATGAGTACCCACCCTCCGTCGATGAGTCCGCAGGCGGTTATGATGGTTTTTATGGCAATCAGGAAAGCGATTACCATTCAAATGCCGGCTACCTGCCCGCACAACCTGTTTACCAACGTCCTGTTGTCACTAAAACTATTCAAATTGCGCAGCCAGCATTGAAGGCCAAGAAATTTGAGGTTCGTCACCCAGCCATCCAAAAGGAGTTTTATGACATCGAAGAACGTGTTGTGATTAAGCCTGCTGGCACCATAGTTGTCGAGCTGGAACATCCAGTTGCGAAAATTCCGAAGGGTGAAACCGTACTGCCCCTCGGTCATCCACATCCGGCAATTGCCGCGCAGTACAATTTGAATAGTGACGCAGACATTGAGACGGAATCGTCCAGTGCGGGTTCCTATAGCAACGGTGTGCGCTCAAGTCCGAATCAGGTCTATGCAACGCCCGCTAGAAAAAATCCTGCGCCAGTAATTAGCGGCACGCACATTGCTTCCACTGTTACAGCTACACCGACAAATAATCAAAACGCCAAACGAGATTTTGTGGAAGCCAATCTGCGCAAGCAATACGGTGAAGAAACAAAACTCGTAGCTACAACTGAAAACACGCAACGCGGCAGGGAACTTTACATACCCGCCGAGACACATGGCAACCAGCGTCAAGGGTCTAATAGGAACTTCTCACCCAATACATTCAGACGCGAAGAGAGCAATTACCAACGTCCCGCTCGTGTTGAAGCAAAGAAAAACGATGAGACCTATCGTTCGTCCTTTTCGAGAAGAGAAGAACAGCCATTACAAAATAATGCTGCCGATTTCCAGAGCAATTACAGCAACGACGACGATGATTACAAGGGCGAATATATTACCGGTAACTTTTACAGCACAGCCAACAGAGATCCCAAACCTGCCCGTCTGCAGGAAGAGCCACGCAAAAGTGAACGCATTACTGCCGAGCCACGCGCACAAATCATAAAACATGAGCACACTATCAATATTCCACCGTCACAACATAACATATACATAGCGCCCAGTCGCTTAGAAGACCGCCACATACTTGTTCAGGAGCAGCGCAAGCAGGCACCATCACGAAAGCAGCAGCCCGCTCGCCTAGAAGAAGAAACTGCTCGCGTTCAAGAGGTCAAACCATACTTGGACCGACAACGGGAGGGTGGGGTAGTATACGTGGTCCCCGCTAGACGTCCAGTTACAACGCAACAGCGCTATACACAAAATGAAAGTCGACTGCCACAACTAGTTCCGCAACAGCGCTCTTATGGCCAATTGCGTTACGACCCCGACGCCGATGTGGATGCGTCAGTGGAGTACAGTGCACCATACTCTCATATGCGCTACGATCCAAAGGAGTCTGCGCGGCTTACCGCCGATGTAGAATATAATCGGAATGTTCATGAAAATGCGCCGCAAAGAACCATAACTGTAAACTATAACCGCGGACCCGAATCGAATGCCCGTCTGGTCTCACAAAATAACTCAGAGCTCGCTGCAAAGGAATCCGCCAAATCAGTGGAAAGCAAAGACGTTAAAAACCCCGAACTACGCCCGCTGGCACACATTCAATTACAAGTACCGAATGGTCCGCAAGAAGCTGATGAGCCCATACGAGTTATGTCTTCGATCAATCCACCGAGGGAACAGAGTCGTACGGCATACTCTAGACAGTCGGCAGCCAAACAAGCCGAGGACGATCAAGTAGAATCTGCTGTTCAAAATGAAAGTGAAGATCAAGATGAACCACGCTCTGAGAATGTCGAGTCCCAACCCGATTGTGCGGAAAAAGTGAGCGAGCGTTATGAGAATGACCCCGACGATGATGTGCAGTATGCTGAAGAGCAACGTGACAGAGAACCAGTAAAGTCCCTACGCCTAATAGACACTAGCAGCTCTCAATCAAACGGCAAAGAAAACGCCCAACCAGCGACTTCTAATATCCAAACTGAAAGCGTGGATGCCAACGTCAAAGACGGCAATGCGCATATCACGCCGCCGGGCTCCCGCGTGATTGCCGCCAACCCAGCACCCAACGACGCATCCGCTGCAAGCGAGAGTTTCCACAAACGTCGCATTGTGGTCAACCATCCCTTCCAGACGGTGCGCGAGGTAGTCGAACATGAACCCATTACAAATTATCATCAAATACAAGTACATGAACACGCGTCACCAGCTTCGGCGTACCACAAGGCACCGTACTTTGCGTCCAATGGTGCCTTGCGTCAAATTGCTGTGCCAGTTATGTATCATCAGGCGTCTGGCGCAACACACGGAAATCTAGTTTCCGCCTTGCCTGATGCAATTCCTGTGCATGAAGACAACGGCGAAGCGGAGCCGTCCTATCAGCAAACGCGTCAGCGTGTGCGCGCTTAAGTGCGTCGAAAAGTCTCAGTTCGATTGAAGTGGCCAATTGTTGTTGTTATTGTAGCGTTTGTTGTTGCCATTAATTAAGGATATATCACTTACAAATAAGCTATTCAACTTATTCGAGTCGATCGAATATTAATTTTTTTTTTAATATTTTAGACATAAGACACTAATTTGTAACCGATTCAACTAAGGTTGATGGGATAACCTAAACTAATGATTGCCAGACAACGTGGATGCGTTGCCCTTATTTAAGTACACCAAACTTCATATATAAGTTGACGAATAAAGGCATAAAATGCTAGATCAAACGAATATTGCGAAATGTATTTGAGTTTAAGTAAAGCTGCTACTCATACTTTAGGACGTATGGTCTTAAATAGTTGGTTGGTCCATTTTGATTCCACCACTCCTGCAACCTACAGCAATTTGGCGCATATTAGCATCATCCTTGCGAGGGCTGGTAACATGCACAGAAAGTGTTCGACTGTCTACTTTCAGCCCGGATCCATGCAGCTGCGACAGAACTTCTTGGTGGTAAAGGTAAGCCAATACCCAAATATGCCCGTGCCCGGTGCAGACTGCTGTAAGTTACACACTGCTATACGATTGCACCTCTGTTTAGCCTTCGAGGGATAAATTTCGGCCTTTCTGTCCTTGATCTCCCTGAGCAAGGCAGCCATGTCCACCGCAGGGGCCACATTTCAGTGCAGAGCCTAAGCGAGGTAGGGCTGTCTGCTATCTCGTTTTCGTGATTTCCCCATGTCACGGGACCCATATTAGGGTAAATTCGTATTAATTAAAAATTGAAGCCAGCTGTCTACTACAGTCAACCACTAGTTGAGATCTAACACAGGTGGAAGAGAGTACATGAGTAGCCGCTTAGCTAACTGAGAAGATATTCATCTGGGATGTACCCTACTGCCTCCTTAATTGCAAACGTTTCAGCCTGGAAAACAATTAATTGCTCTGGTAGCCGGAGGGATAGCTTTAGTTTCAATTGCTCAATGAATACCTCTGCAACAACCTCGCATACCATCTTTGATCCACACGTGAAGTTCGTTAAGCCCTCCAAGAACTGGATCCAACTTTGAGTACTTGGGAATTTCGTGTGGGGTTTGTGGTGGAACCAGGTCGTCGGCTGGATATAGTCAGTAGGTAGCGCTTTAATTTCGGGCGGTAATGCATTTAGAATTGAACTATGCTGACAGTCTTAGTAGTATAGCAACATCTTTGCCAGGAAATTCGGACTACATATAACTCCCGGAGCTTCGAAAAGTTTCCAGAAGCTAGACGAGAAATCGTTGGATGGCGTAGAGGTGCTAATTTGACAAACAGCATATTCTACATGCTAACCTAGAGGAAGTTCCAATGACATTGAGTTCGACCCATTAGCAATAGCCTATGGTAATATTAAAAAAAGTAATATTAAAAAATATTAAAAAAAAACTTACACCGCAATAATTGGCGCAGGCGTCGGGATCGCTCTTCTTGTAGATTGAACCAAGTACTCAGCGGTTCCAATCTTCGGGCATGCATCCATAATGCGAAGTGAATCACCTCCTCGTCGACTTTGAAGTCACTAACAGAACTTACTTCTACTATGTCTAAATTTTTTAACCTTTGCTAAACAAATTGAGCTATGCAGAAGAATATTGATCGCCATCCGAATTGGGATGGACGTCTCCGACTCATTCAAATTCAAAGGAGGTTTTAACAAAGCGACTCTGAAAACGTTATGCTTACTCGTAATTTGAGATCGTTGATTCTAATCCCGTTTTATTTTTAGCACAACAGTTATTTATCGTATTTGCGATGCGGAAAAATGATGAGATTGAGCCCGATAATGTGCTCTGAGCAGGCTTGAAGGATCCTAGCTTTGAATTCCAAAGCACGAAGTGACTTGTCGAATAAAACACACTACTTATTAACACTTTTTATTTACAATATGAACTTAATCTTAAAAAAAAAAATAAATACGACTTAAATGTATTTTAGGTTGATTGGCAAGACGGGAACAACAACAAAATCAACTTGCTCTAAGCACGACTCTTTTTAGAACCACAAAAATTAATCTGTATTTTATTTAATCTATCTATCTCGCTTTATCTTCTTCTCGCCCAACCAGCATTATGGAAAATTTTATAAATTTCATTGCGATCAATTTTCTCTGCTTCACGATTGAGCACCGGCATCTCCTTGGATGTCAGCAGTGACTCTTTGGCGAGAGCAGCTGCGATATGAGGATTGCTGTAGAAACGTCGACTTTTCGATAGTTCCGGTGGCAGTTGAGCTTCTCGCTCCGCATTGGCTATAACCGCCGGATGGGCATAGCTCTCCTGGCTTGGCTCTGAGATGGGTTTAAAATCGGGTGGTGGTGAGGTATATCGCGGATAATGAAGTGATTGATATGGCAAGGGCGCTGATTGGTGGAAATAAAATTGTGCGCTGCATGAAGACACAAGTAAGATCACACAAAGTAAAATTGAGTGCATGTTGCTGGAATAAAATAAAATAAAATTATTTTTATTATTTAAGAATTAATTTTAATTAAGAGTAACGGGTTTTTACGGGTTGTTAAATATTATTCTATAATAACAGCTGATGACAAGGCGTATTGCCGGCAGCGGTTTGCTGGAAGAACAGCATGATACGAAAAAAATTTTTTGTATGTTTATTTTTTTTTTTAGTTAAGTGTGCAGAAACTGCCGCCAGCACTTCTTTTATGTTCCGCTAAAAATGCATACTCTTATCCACTTGACTTGGCAACTATATAACTAGAAAACAATGACTTTTTGATCAAAGCAGGGATCCAAGTTAAGAGCTGATGACAGCTTTATCTATTGGATTTAAGTCTACGACTATATTTGTTACTTTTTTTTAATTATAATTAATTTTTGTTCAAGTTAAAAACAGTCTAAATTTTTAAAATACTTTTTCTAACTATTTTTACAAGATTTTATTATGTTTCGCCTGTGTGTAATCAAATCTTGCAATCAATTCTTAACCAACTTCTCGATGAGCTAGAGACTTGAAACTTTAATTTTAGCCCAGAACCCTATGACAATGCAATGCGAGAGATGGCGCAGGTGTCGAGATATTTGAAAAAAGCCCTATTTATGGACCTTTTCGGTCCATATCGTTATCTTAATTCACAAAGGCCCTAACCTACAACTTTTCATTTTACAGGAGAAGCAAAAAATATTGTAACATACAAAAAAAAAATAGCAAAAACTAAAGGCTTAATTTACGTAACGTAACCTATAATATATTGGCCAACGTAATATATTTTTGTTCAGAACTTTTTTATAGGCGGCAAAATGACCATCAACTAAAAAAGGAAAACACAAAAACAAAAAATTTTCGCTTCTGGCTAATTTGACGTATTAACTAGTCATTGACGATTTCTTACGTAAGTTAAGTTAAGTCTAGACTAACTAGACTATAAATTGCTGTAGAACTATTTCTATCTTACGCGTAATTTCTTCCATAGCAATTTCTTAAAGTAATGTAATGTAAAGGCTTCCTCCTTTCTACCTGTGGCCAGAAGAACCTAGTCACCTTGAATTCATCGGCTTTTTGCCCAGTGTTCGCATATCGGCTTAGCTTAGATGAGCATCTGTACCCGGCCAATTGGAATGGGTACGCCCGATCGGGCGAGTCGGGTGTCTGACATCGGTCCTTGGTACATATGTCCCAGGTGAAAAAGCGAACTGCTCAGCCAAATGTTGAAAAGCGCTTGTCTTCCGCAAATTTCAAAAAAACTGGACTAAGCAACTTTTCACTCTAAAGTAGCAAAATATACATTTTTAAACACTGAAGCTCCTAATGATTTTTCTCAAAAAAAATGAAAATAAAATTTTCCGCGCAAATCAACATGTCGTATGAGTAATATTTCTTGGCGTTAACTTCTTCCACTTACTAATACGGTAGACAAACGGGCTCGATTATTTGCATAACCAGCCTTTATTTGCTTTGACTCATGCATTTTCCTCTTTAAGGCCTGTATGCAGTTCTCAAGAAAAGCAAAAACTCCATATAAAATGACATACAAGAAATGGCTAAGAAATTTTCTTGAGTTAAATTTCCTCAAGGCAGTACGCAGTTCTTAAGAAATATACTACGCTTTCTACTACGGTTTTCTAAAGTTTTTTGTGAAAAAAGAGCACAAGGCAACCCAGGTTTGCAACAGAAATATATGCCCGTTCCATTATTTCTTGACGAAAGAGTGAGGCAACAGGCTGTGAGGTATCAAAAATGTCAAAATTCCTTGGACACACACGCGAAATAATGGCAATTTTTTCTTGACCGTTTTCTTGAGAGCTGCATACAGGGCTTTAATATGCGCATAAGCAGCCGAACAAATGCACGAAATTTTTGGGAATTAACTCGGATCCGGGCAGTTTTCGTTGAAAACACTGGTCAGCTGTTGTCTTTTCTACAAGTAAGCAAACAAAGCGCGCGTGTTCCGCGTCCGCAGTAGCCGAGTGGTAAGAGTTACGGGATACAAGCCTGTAGCTGCCAGGTTCGGTCCTCGGTTGGAGCGATTGCGAAATGTTTTTTTGTTTTTATTTATTTTATATTTTTTTTATTTTATTTGATCTATATATTTAATGTTACTTTATTTTGTTTTCATTTGCTTTATTTTATATCACTTTTTTATTTTACTATCAGTTAATTTAAATTTTTAGAGTTGAATTTTAATAAAAAGTCAACAACAACTAACTGAAAGCAACGTAAAAAAAATATAGAACTTATAAAAAAAAGAATGAACAAAAAAAATAAAAAAAAAATTAAAATTTAATTGGCCGTGGGACTCGAACCCACGACCTTGCGGCTCATTTATCCGCATAACTGCCGTCTGTGAGGTCAAAATTATTATGCGCATATGTATACCAGATTATATGCATAAGCTTTGCCGTCTGTCACAGCTTTAAGCCTGTTTATTTTTTAAGCAAAAATACTGTGGATGGCGTAGCCGGAGTTGGATTGGTGAGGGTTATTTTTTTTTCAAACGCAGCCGAAGGAAAGGTGTTCTGCGCAAAAACACTGTGATATCCGAGTTTAGATTTTCTCTCCCAAAATGGTTCCCCAGGGGTCTGTGGACGGGTCAGAGAGGGGAGAGGAGCATTTTCTTCCAGTTGCATTGTGTTCTCTCTAATGGGTTGGGTTTCAAACCCCCGTCCCACCTTAAACCCAATGTACAAATAACCGAACATTAACAAGGTTTGTATTACTTAATTAACTTCGATTACACAGCAGCTCAAGTTTCTAAAAAAAATTTTAATTTTTTTAAATTATGTATGTATTTCATTTTTCACTTTGTAACTTTTTGGTTTAATCGTTAGTTATGTTTTTTGTTTTGTTTTTTTTATTTGCTTTTACCACTGTAAAACTTACATCATCGCTTTATATTAAGTTTTGTTTTAAATGAAAATTTACACGCGTATCAGAGTTTGAGATATCCACTCTCCGTTACACCAAAATATCCAAAATCGAATACAAGACAAACGACGTTTCAACAGCAACTGATTTTAGAATAACAACGAAACGATCTTTTATGGTGAATGAGTTTGAATGCTAAGCGTAAATTTGCAGCGCTCATGAGAACGCAAAGTTGAAACAAAACAAAAAAAAATAAAAATATTAACAAATGGATAAAAAAAAAATACTTTAGAAAACTACTAAACAAAGTCTACCCTACAACAACACAAACCACGTACGCGTTTCAGCGCTCGTGTTGAGCGAGTAACAACTAAGTAGTAAACACACAACAATGCCTGCCAGACAAAAAAAAAAAACAAAAAAAAAAACAACAGGAAAATCAAAAGCGGTTGTGCGCATGCGCAACAGTCAATGAACAGGAGGCAGCAACAGTAGCGGTAACAAAAGCCACAGCAGCCGCAGCAGCAGCAGTAAAGATCAAAACAGTAGCAATAGGGGCGGCAACAGTTAATCCACTATGCATGGGGGGGGGGGGGACTTGAAATAAATGTATGTAAATTGTGATTGCTTTTAGCGCTTGCACACGAGTTGGCTGTTGCTGGTAGTTGGCGGATGACGACCCAGAGAAGTGAATGCAATGCCTAATATGGCATGGAAGTAGTTCTCCTCTTTGTGACTCGAATGCCTAGAAGTGATAAAATGATTATTTACATTCAGAATTCGTCACTCGTAGAACTTCAAACGTGATTAAGCTGTTCTTGAGTTTGTTTTTGATTGCAAATGTATATGTATGTATTTATATATGAATGTATTAACTAGCTTCGTATGTACACATATGTACATATGTTTGTGTGTATGTTTACTATTCTTTGTTGCTTGCCATTCACAAATTCTAAGTTAAGTAGTTTCGAAAATGAAAGTAATTTTGTGCGATCCCCTGCGAAAGTCTAATTAGTTTTAGAGCACTAAGTATCTTAAGCTAAATAGCTCGTTATGTGCGTTTGTAATGTTTTAGATGCAATTAAAACAGTCAGCTGATCAGCAGCTGCGACAGATTTAGAATCAATTAGTTGCATAAATGCATAGATTTTCATATATGTATGTATGTAAACATGTATAAACATGTATATATATGTATGTATGTACATATGTTAACATTCAATGTATTGAGAAAAGTGCCAATTAGTAAGTAAATAAAAAATACGCACATTAATTGTTGTAATTATTTTCGTAGCGAACTGATGTCAGCTTTTTAAAAAAAAATTATATGGATCAAGATCAACTATATATTTGTGTACTCAATTCTAATGCATATAATGATTTTACAAATCCAATGCATATTATGCAGAAAAAAAATGCAAAGACCTTGGCTTAATTATATTATATTTTATAATAGTCTGTAAGCAAAAATACATATGTAGTTAGTACGAAAGCATTACCGTGTTCAATAGCTGTGTATAACAGAGTAAATGTCAACTTCAAACAAATCCCTTGTTTAGAATAAAAATGCCTTTGTTGGTTCGGGGTTTTAACTGCTGCGCTATGGGCTATTATACAGTGTTTCGATTTCATGGAATATATTATTTTTGAATTTAGGTATGGGACACATCCACTCAGTTAGCAGCAGTTTATTTTGAGATTGTGACCTTCGAGCTAATTTAGAAGTTTAACCTAAGGAAGAAGGTGGTTGCTCTCTATTTTTTTTTTGAATTTTTTTTTCATGGAGCTAAAATGGCAGAAAACACAGCTAGGCTTTATTTAGGCTTTATTTCTTGCTATATTCTTACTTTTTTGGGTTAAATATGGCGTTTTTCGACTATGCCAGACCAATAAAAATTAAATGTTTTCGAAAGACAATTACACCTACACCTACACACCTAACATTTCCGGCTATTCAAACGTTCGTTCCATGAAAAATTACCCTACGGATGTCCTTAATGTTATTACAAACCTCGTGCCCCTCGTGGGCAGAAATAATAAACTCGCCTTATTTTGACCAGGTTTGGCTATATTTTTTTTTTTGGTTTATTTAATGTATACAACAAACAACAAATGTACATATAAATCCATATTTCAAACTTTGTACAAAAATTCAACAAATTATCACAAATTTTTTTAGGTATTATGCAGTTTTATAGCCCATTCAATTTTATAATAAAGTGCAAGTTTCCAGTGGTTCGAGAATATCGTTGATTTTAAATCTTTTTTTTCTGACGAAGTCACGCATATTTTTTCCATGCAAACTATGATAGATTTTTTTTATAAGGAAGCGAAAGCGTAAAAAATTGCAAAAAATCAACGGTACTTTGCAGCTACTTGTAACATGCAAATTATTGTACTAAAATTGAATGGGCTTTAAAACTGCATACCAAACATTTTTTTTTTATTCTGATTAAAAATTTTGTTCCAAGTAGATTCGTTTGGGTCCCTGGTCATCCTAAGAGGATTCTGATGAGTTACCCAGGGAGGGTTGCTCATTGATCGTATTTATATCGCACGTTTAATAATATATAGAGATGTAACTCAAAATTTAGGTTTTAGTAGATTTTATTATGCAACTAATAAGTTTGATAAGTAGAATATGTTAACCCCAAATATTCCCAAATATAGCGTAGATATGTGTTTTTCCATATCGTCGTTTAAAGTACAAAACCGCATATCACCATTCTGCAAAACCGCGTAACTGACATTGGCTGCCAAAAATTTAATTTGCTCACACAAACTCTTGGCTTAATCCTTATCCATTCGTAATGAAATATACTAGCCAGAAATGCGACTGCTTGATAAAAAAGAGAACCATTTTGAAATATGAATGCTTTTACTCTCTAGAAAATAATTTATGCAACCTCACATACGCGGTTTTGCATTTTGTTGATACGCGGATTTGTACTTTAAACGACGATATGTATTTTGGTATAACAACTGTATGAATTGTTATCGTGGATTCCAAAAAAAAAATATTTGTTCGGGATAATTTTTTTTTTAATGCAACAAACCCCTAGAAGTGGGCGGGAAAGTTTTAGGACTAAAGTTAAGAAAAATCAGATATTATTGCGAATTTGAGCGGAATATCTATTCACTAACAACATTTGCTCCGCACTTCACTGCCCATTCGCATTTTATTAGATTTTCAAAAACATCAATAACTTTGTCTTAACTTAAGTAATGTTGAATACATATGTATATGAGCGTTAGACTAAAGGACTGATTTCGATGTAGGTATTATATAAATTTTAGAGCAGTACCAGAAATACTTTTTACCATGTTTTCAGGACCATACGGTCTTAAAAGTTCATTTCTTGACTAATTTCATATACAAAAGATTTTAAAACACCTGATAGCTGTGTGTGTCGGCAACGCGCCCCGAAAGTGCCCAAAAACCATTTTTTTTTTTTTGAAAAAGTTTTATCTTTGCTTAGACCAGAGGTTCCCAAACTTATTTTTCTTGTTCTTTTAGAGTTATGTGAAAATTGTAAACAAATGTTCTGTCTAAAAATATAGCAGATTTTAAGCCTTGTTGTGGTAGATATGGTAGACACCCAAATTTAAAAAAAAAATGTGGTAAATCTACCACATATGTGGTAGAGGTTTGCACACTGTATGTAAGTAATTTTACTTTTGATTTGCCTGAAACTGAACACTGTTTTTCAGTAGCGTCAATTGGGTACGGCCTTGAATGTGCAAACTGAATTACTTTTACAACTATTGACTGAAAAAAATACTGGCTGACTTGAAGAATTGGCCTATGCACTGCCGAAGGATGGGATGTGTATAAAAAATTCAACGTATACATACATACATATGTACATAGAGTACATACATTCATATGCGGCTATCACTCCCACGTACTATATTTGTTCTAATATCGCATGAAATTTAAAGCGGAAGCGTTGATAGACTTTACATTAGGTACATATGTACATATGTATATCTGTAGACTTTTGATTGAGTTCTCTAATGATATCTTTATGTTTAGTCATTAATAAGAGTAGTTCAAGATGATATCTTAATGGAAGTTATATAAAAATGTCAAATTTTAAAATGGAAGTTCCGTATAATTTACTCTAAATTCCAACCGACAGAAAGCACAGAGGTTGTTTTGCCAAAAGTCCACAGATATGTATATGTACTCTCATATATGTTGTGCCATAACAAAAACAATCCATATAAGCTATTAATACATACATACATATGTACATATACGCATATCACTCATTTGCCAAAAGAGTGTCACAACTTAGAAAAAGTAATTTTTCACGGGTTAAAGTTTTTTCAATTTACTCCAAAAACGCAGAAAATAGAAATGCATTTTCTCTACTCATCCAAAAACTACACAAAATTTGACCACGAAATTTTCAAACTGCATAAAGCATTACATAACGACTAAATCTGCTGCTTTAGCTGAAAATTTTTGTTTTTTGAGTTGTAACAGTCTTTTAGCAAATAAGCGATATGTTTGCTCTTGAAAATTTGATTATCCATGAACTTTATGTTAACCACATCACAGCTTAACGAGACCATGCCCGCGTTTTGGCAACCAATGATTACTTGTTTGCAGAGTGAGTGAATTGTGTTGCTACTTACTATGAGTGATGGGTGCGCCCGCCCCGCCCCGTTGGTTTGTTTGTAAACATGAAATTAATTACATTACAGGCACTTTGTACTTTTTTGTGAGCTCTACGCGATTTGGACACTTCTGACATGCACAGGCATTCAAACATAAGTACATACCTATGTAAGGTGTACACGTATGCTCATACATATGTAAATATGTATTACCAAGTTAGACATTAAAGACATTAACACTAATTTTCATTATTATCCAAAATGTACGTATGTGCATACTTACTCGTAAATGTATTTTAATGTGGCTATATGTATGCTTCTATAACTCTGAATGCCCCTCTATGGCTTTGAACTTCATTTTATTTTAATCATTGTCAAGGTTATTTTGTTTTTAAAGCAGTCCTATAAAAGTATGCTTTTATGCACGTATGCAAATTATTAGTATTGAAAGTGGAAAAAAGACAAGATATGTATTGAAAACGAATATGGATGTACATTAGGGTGGTCCAAAAACAGTAAAGTAGCAATTGTAATGCTCTCACCCCCTAGAGTTGTTCTATATCGAAAAAG